TAGTTTGGTACAAACTACAAGATAAATTGATCCTGGAACAATTTCATACAAAGATTTGTGGGAGAGTTCAATTTCATTGGTATGTCATTTAAAACATTACACCATTAAGTAGAATGAAAAAGTTCAATGAATTTTTAGAAAGAGAAATAAGACGTAAGAGAAATTTCTTGCTAGGAAAAGCAAGAAATAGCTTTGAACTATGTTCCTAGGCACTTACATACAATTTTTTTTTGGGGGGGGGCGGGGGGCATTCACAGATCCTCTGGAAAAAGTTAAAGAAACAATGAAATAGGAAATGAACTAAGAAACTATTAAAAAGTGGTGATTCTTTTTAAGAGCATAGTTTTGTATAAATGGTGAGGAGAGAATTTAGGATGCAAGGAGGACTGAAGAGGGGATAATAAAAGCAGAGGGTTAATTTGCACTAAGTTCAGTGGTCAAAAGATTGAGCAGTGCCCCGGGGTTGGGAGTTGGTAGGGTTTTTGCAGAAGGGAAATCTGAGTACATACATGCCTAAGTTGAAGTGAAGGAAGCAGTGGGGAGGAAGAGTTAAATGTGAAGAAAACAACTGATAGACCAAAAACAGGAGAAGAAAAAAAGGATGGATCAAGAAGCCTAGAGAAGTGCCGCTTAGAAAGAGGTAGGGATGCTCCGTTCTCTGAAACCCTGGGAATTTTAGCTCCAGAGAGCAGAGGCCTAATCTGACTCGTTCACGGCTACACACCTTGGATTTAGTACAGTACTAGACACACACTAGACCCAAATCAATATCTGCTGGAGTAAAATGAAATAAAACCACCGCTATGAGACTATGACTCCAATACAACAATATCTGAAAGCTTATTTAAAAAATAACTTCTTACATTGTATTATCCTTTGATTCTTCAAATGCATTTAGTTCACGGATGATAAATTGTCTGTCCAATGGAACTACAGGTTGACCAGATTCTGGGAGGAAAAAATCATGAAAACGCTGAGTCTTTATTAATCTAAAAAGCAAATATGATTTTGATAAGAACCACACTTACCAGATATACACATTTTTCAGATTTTAGAATAATGACAACAGATCAAACTTATGATTTTTATGACTTTCAAAATATCTATTTTATTAAATGTGTGACAATACAATTTAACATAAATTCTTTTTTTAATGTAATATTTGCTTGCAGAAATGCTGTTTCTGCACTTAAACTACAATACTAGACTTCAGAAGTCTGTTTCTGAGAAGCCTGTGAATTAAACATACGATAGTACCAATATCCATTGGGTGGTGATAATTCTAAAAGTAAAATTAATCCTAAAATGAAATGCTGGCAAGGATACAGGGCAACTGGAACTCTCATACTTTGCTGGTGAGAGAGCAAAGTTGAGCAGTTCTTATCAAGTTAAGCATATGCTTACCACATACAACCAGCAATCCCACTTCTAACTCTTTACGCAAGAGAAATTAAAATACATTCATACAAAAACTCTACGTGACTGTTTGTGGCAGCTTGATTCATAACTGCTAAAAACTGGAAACAACCCAAATGTCCATCGACTGCTAAAATATATAAATTGACATAGTCACACAATGGAATGCTCTTCAGGGGAGAAAAAACCAACATGGCTGAATCGGAAAAGCGTTATGCTAAGTGAAAGGAAGCATACCCGAAAGGCTACATCTTGTATTGTTCCATTTATAGAACATTCTGGAAAAGGCAAATGATAGGTACAGTGGTTGCTAGGGGTGTGGGGTAAGCACAGAAGTTGACTACAAAAGGACACAGAAAATTTTTTGAGGTGATGGAAATGTTCTATATTGTGATTGCTGTGGTAGTTACACAATGTTATACATCTGTCAAAATCCACAGAACTATAAACTTAAAAAAAGTGTATTGTATGTTTAATTATGCCTCAGTTTTTTTAAAAAGGCAATATGTTTAATATGAAGCTTGATTATTATCACTATATTTCATTCTAGGGAAGCCCAAGTCCAAGACAATTAATTGATATTTTATAATTTTCTCCCTTTCTGAGTATTAATTGTATTATACAGACATCTGTAACAAACTGAGGAAAGTAGAGATACTGATATTAAAGATCCTTAACCAATAATCATCAGTTTTTATTCAGTTAAGATATATACTGAATATTAAATAAAAGATGTGTAATAGAAAGTTCTAGCATCACTTCATGATCTTTTTCTTTGATGTGGCACATCTCTGAGACATGAAATAATCTTAAAGCACATTAAAACTTTAAACAAGGGAATCAAATGTAGTACATTCAAGGTGCATTTGATCATCCTCTCAATCTCATTTCTCGTCAAGCCCAGAAGCAACGCCTATCTTGACTACTGTGTGTATCATTCCAGTGTTCTTACTTTATTTCTTAAGAAATAAAATTTAACAGATAAAATTTATCTTTAACTGCCCATTTCCTCCCCCAGTATCATTTCTCTCCCTCCCATCACTAGAATGAGTTTGGAGTTTACCTCCCTAATCCTTTTTAAATTAAAGACCATGCTTTTATATACATTTGTATATATACTAACCAATATAGTAATATTTTGAGACTTTATCATCATTTTATATTTTTAAATAAAGCATACACACACACACACACACACACACATATACACATATACACGTATTAAATTCTTGTGTATTTTAAAGCATACACATAAAAAAAAGACTGGCAGCAAACAGGATAAAATATAAACAATTATTTATTCTCAGTATCAGGAACTGAAGATGCCTTTTCAAAGCATGCACCGAGTATAAGTGTTTATTTAGTTATTTATTCTCCCCTACAATTCAATAAGCCTCATGAGAACTTGTTCAAGCTATGGAAAGAGCCCATGATAAGAACCTTGATAAGAAACTGCTCAACCTTGCTCTCTCACCAGCATTTTTATGTCCCAGTCACTCAGATGACACCACTTAAAAATGGAATTAGATTTCCAGGCTAAAGACTGTCTTAGAATTAGGAGAAGGGAAAAGCAGATTTTTGTATCGGTGACTAACAATAATCTCTTACCTGCTATGAGGACTGACGCTGTATACTTATATTTGTTGAATTCCAAATACTCCCGAATTAATTCATTAATAAGAAGGTTTTCATGAGACAATGATGGTCGAGATTCACTTTCATCATCCAGGGCATTGAAAACTTCGGCTCGAATCCTCGCTTTTAAATGCCCTAATACTCCTCTTTTTTCCAAGGTGTCCTTTAAAACTGTTAAATATAAAACATTAATGCTTCAACTTCAGAATAAATTTTGTCGTTCTTAGGCATACTTTAAAGAAAACTGTTTAAAAATGTAAATGGCTTAACAGCAGCTTTCAATATAAACACTGTGACGAACTGAACACTTATCACATTAGCAACCACAAGTCATGTTTGCAATAAAAAATAAAGCTTCCAATAGCAGTGACTTACTAATTTTAATATATTTAAGCAAATTCAAGTTTAACCATCCAACAGCATCACTGACAGAGGCTACAGTCTGATATACATTCTTCAGTGAGGAAAAAAAGGGAGACAGAACTACAGTTGACACATGGGACCTCAACTTAACCCCTGGCGTCTCACATATTTCTGAGAGAGTTTATTACTGCAGCCAGGTTCTTTGTGTCACTAAAAACCTCTGGTCTAGAAAGAAGACAGTTAAAAATAATAAGAATACTCCATGAATGGAAGGAATGTGTCAGTGTCTTTTGTATAAAATTGCTATCCAGAACCTTGGGGAATGGCCCATTCTGCATGAAAAGGTGGATGTTGTTTTTGGGTTTTTGTTTGTTTGTTTGTTTTTTAAAGACAATTATGAGTTAATTCCTTAAACCAATAGGATTTAGAAAATTTAAGCCTAGTTAGAAATCTAACATGTCGAGCATATCACTGCCATCTTAAGAAATCAGGAATATATATGCTGAATGTAACCTAACTTCCCCTTGACAAGCAAGGATCATTATTACAAATATCAGTAGTTGTGATAATGAGATTTACCAATAAATACTAGTATGGATAGTAAAGGCATAGGGCTGGATTGGCACCATCCCTTGCAAAGGTCTGGAACATTCCCTTTTTAAATTGTTACTAATGGCTAAATAACACTCCAGAGAATCAACACCTCTCACCCACAGTGCCTAGAACATAGTAAAAGCTCAAAAATGTTACCTAGGAGCATTATAATACAGTGCTTTATACAACTGGGTGTAACACAGTACGGTACAGTTTAATATCATACTGTGCCCTGTCAAAAGCACCAAATAAGTACACCACAATAATGTAAAATCATAAAGGAAGCCCAGGAACATAAATATTGTTTAAACTTTGATAAAAAACAAAAACTTGGGTCATGTCATTAAAGAGATACAATCTAGACTAGACTTTAACCTTTCTAGCCCCTAATTTTTAAATCATCCTCTTAAACTTTTTGCAGGTATGTAAGTACATATAGTTATCATCCAATCAGACTTTGAAACAGGCCCATAAAAGGAAGGTACAGCCTTATCATATTCTTGGGATCATAACTGGCCCCTGTTTTCTAATTCCATCTTTGGAAAGTAGATGGAGAGATTTTTTTCCACTGGCAAGGATCCTGTCCCAACTGCACACAGCACAGACTCAAACTCAGCAGAGAAGTGAGAAGTACTGAAGCTGGAGTTAGGAAACCTAACGTATCCCATCACCGCCTCAGTGGTAGATCACCAAGTCGTGCTTTAGTTGCCTTCTCCAACATGAGTTCTACCACTCAGAGGCAGAACCAAGTGAGGTGGAAAAACGTGAAAGTGCTTAAAAAATGTAAAAGCTCATAAAACATAAGATAATTGGCAAACACATTTTCATTGGGTTTCTTTTGAACACAAAGCACATTCAGAACTGGGGAATGCGGGAAAATAAAGGGGGTCTCTACATCTGTGTAGGACACCTCTAATTACCAAAGCTCTTTTTAGGGTTCCATATCATTTTCCCCTTCCCTCTATTACCACGCTTAAAACACTACCATAGCAACTTCTTCAGAAAGAGGTTCTTAATCTGCTTATATTCCTAAGTATCTAATTTCTCTGAAGTTGTATGTAATACTATGTGTGGTATTTGCTACCTGGGGAGACGTTTCACCCATTTATGTGAAATCTGTTCTTATAGATAAAGGCAAGCCTTTTTTATGATTCTTCTCCAGCCCAGGGCCACAAATATACATTTACATCAATGGGTACTAAATCACCTCAAAGACATTCAACCCCTCCCTGTCAAATCCTTAAGAATGACTGATTTAGCCCCAAGTTCTCTGAAAATTGGTTTTATTAATCGGACAGCGGTATCACTCAGTGATTAATACCTGGAGCTCTGGTGCATCATATCTAGTTCGCACACTGCCTCTTTCTGCATGAATTACTTTGGGCGAGCTATTTTACCTCTCAGCATTTCGATTTCCTAATCTGTGAAATGGGTTATTACATGGAATCGACTAGATAACGCAGGGGCTGGGCAGTGCCTAGGCTCAATCACCGATATCTATTATTACTACCTCTCTGGACATCTGCGTTCAAAACCAGAGTGTACAAATGTTGTCAGCTTAAGGACTCGCTCCTTTTGTGGGACAATTCCGAGAGAGTCAGGAGACTGGCCAGGCCAGGCACCTTTCTACCTCCGGTCCATCGTGACCAGGGTGTAAGGGTGCAGGGAGGCAACCAAGCAAATCGTTTAGGACTGGCTGTGCCTGACACCAAAAACGGTTGTGATTATTGTAAACATCAGCTCCAAGTAAAATGTCCGGCCCAAGGCCTCGGATCCAGGCGGGGTCCAGAAAAATGCTCCAGAGGTCCAACGTGCAGGACTGAAGACCTCTCTCAGGTACCTGCACATCCTGCGACTCCTCCAAGTCAAAGCCGGTTTAAAAACCGCCCCTGTGCCACCCTTTCCCTCACAGTGCCATGGCTCAGCGGCCGCCACACAGCCCGACGCCCCGCAGGCCCTTGACGCCGCAGAGCGACCCTCGGGGAAGGCTGACTTGTATTCTGTGCGCCCTCCGTTAGTCGCATCCTTTTCACAGGCTGCAGGCCAGACGTATTTCAAGCTGCAAGCCTCCCTCTCTCACTCACCAGCCTTCAGCTCGGTGACAGTCGCCATTTTCAACGGCCGCCAGGGGCGCGCCTCGCCCGTGCGCACGCGCAGCCCCGCCCCTTTCCGCGGCGTGTTCTGGAGCCAATAGGCGCACCGCTCTCGCGACGTCCAGTCCCGCCCCGCCCCTCAGGTTACGATCTCCGTGGTTGGGTAGGTGGTAACTGTCCAGAGAGACGCCACCAATCAGCGAGCACCGTAGGCAGGCCCTGCTGAGGGACGAGGGAGGCGTGGAGGGAAGGGTCGGTCCCAACCCCTTACCTGTGAATGCTGCTGTCACCTTGGTGCTTCACTTTTGCCCAGTAAGCCTTTCATGATCTGGCCCGCTGCTCACGCTGCAGCCTCAACTACTAATTGTTACCATGTGTTAAGGCCGTGGTTATTAAACTTGAACGTGCATCAGAAGCACTTGGAAGACTTGTTAAAACAATCTTCCCCGTTAAAACACCCCTGAAGTTTCTGACCCAGTAAATCTGGGATGAGGTCCGAGGATTGCATTTCTAACAAGTTCCAGGGTGGTGCTGATGCTGCTGCTCTGGGGCTCGCACCTTGAGAATCACTGTATTCAGTACTTACCAAGAGCCTGACACTGCTAATTACTTTACACCCCTTAGCTTTTTGATTGCCCTTTTATTACTCCCATTTTACAAAGGGGAAAACTGAGTCTTTGATGGCTGAAGAGACTTAACCAAGATCACCAGCAAATGGTGGAGGTCATATTTGAACCCAGACCTCTTGCTCTTTAAAGCCTATTCTCTTCTACTGACAATAATACTGGGCAGTATACATAAGGAGTCCAAGAGTTATTTGAGAAAATAACTGATGAACGAATAAGCTCTAGCATCCCATGGAAAAGGAAGAAAAGGGAACATGGGAATAATGTACCCAAAACTCAGTACGAGGTTCTGTGATTCCACTTGTGTTGCAAGAAGATCAATATCTGTGACCTAGATAGTGCCGTTTAACCCAATAGTAGCTCTTGAAATCTATTTATTAGTGGATCCCAATGAACATATTTGCAGTGAAATGGAATGGAATGAATAGCAAACAAATACTATTTTTTGAAACTTTTGGGTATAAATGTGTGTGCTGACTCCTGATCTATTTCTTAAAGTGGGAAGCAGTCAAAAAGTTTGAAAGCCATTGTAACCTAGAGTAATCCATTCCTGTTCCAAACAAGATTAATTTTGACTTTGTGGGACAGAGATCTGTAAACTTAGAAGGGTCCTGTTCTGTCACACTTCTCTATTCTATAAAACCCATAGTGTATTCCTGGGAGTATCTGAAGAGATTTATAAGGGTGAACTAAATTCCATAGGTAGAACGTTTGTGCTCTTCAGAGAAAAGCATTCCTGAATGTACTAATGAACTCAGAGAGAGAAGAAAATAAAAAATGTAGTTGATTGATTAGTAGTGGTAATCATATAATAACTAACAGCCATTGCCACTCTCTGTGTGGCAGGCACTGCTCTAAAACCTTTGCTTTAAGTCCTCACCAACAACCCTCTGAGGTAGATACTCACACAGCAATTGTAAAGTAAAATTTCACTTAAAAACATGTACCGAAACTGGGTAATACACTGTGTTGGTGAGGATGTGGGGAAACAGGAATTACCATCCCTAGCTGGTAGGCGATAAATTGGTCCCATCTGCTCAGTAGGCTGTTTGGCAATATCTAATTAACCTTTCACACCCTTTGATCTATCAATTCTAGGTTTAAGAATGTATCTTACAGATACATTCACACCTAATTATGAAGGATATGTGTATAAGAGTATTCATTGTTGCACTGTTTATAGTACACAAATCTATCTGCCTATCAGAATACAATGAGAATACCAAATGCTGGCGGGTATGCATATGTTGCTGGCAGGAAAACAAAGTAGTATAGTCACGTTTATAATCAGTTTGGCAACTGCTTATTAAGTCAAACATATACTTACTATACACCCCAGTAATCCCACTCCTAGGGGTTTACGCAAGAGAAAAACATATCTATACAAAAGGCATTTTGCAATAATTGCATATTTATTCATAATTGCCCCAACTGGAAATGACCCAATGTCTTCTGACTGATGAATGGATGTAAACTAGCTGCGGTTTATTTGTACCGTGGAATATCACTCAGTAATAAAAAGGAACCAACTGCTGATACATGCAACAATATAGATGAATCTCAAATGCATTGTGTTGGTTATAGAAACAAGACTCAAAGGCTTCATCCTATATGATTCCATTTACATGACATTTTGGAAAAGGCAAAGTATAGGAACAAAAAAAGCAGATCAGTGATTGTCAGGGGCTGAGGCTGAATGACAGGGGCCCATGGCAAAGGTGCACTAGGGAGATTTTTGGAGTGCTGGAACTGTTCTACATCTTGGCTGTGACTACACAGTTGTATATTTACTACAATTCATAAAGCTGTACACTCAGAGAGGGGAACTTTACTGCTTGCATACTTCAATCATCTTGACTTTTAAAAAATTACTGGAAATACCAATATCATCAGTTGGGGACCGATGAAGTAAGTTTTAAGTATAGCCATAAATGAAATATTACACGGTCATTCTAAAGAAGAGGGAGTTCTAAACACATATAATATGTATGTGTATATATATGTAATTATCAGCAAGATGCAAAGATAGAAGCGTTAAAAAGCACAGTCCAGGAGACATTGTGTAGTATGTCACCAAGAGTTTAAAGAAAGGAGAAATACTAAGGGTTTGTTTGCCTATACATGGGCTACCTCCGAAAGATATATAAGAAAGTACAAACAAAAATTGCCCCAGGAGAGCAGAACCAGAGGTCTAGGGGTCCATGGTCAGAGAGAGACTTATTTTTCAATCAAATTAAAATGTTAACGATGTGCATGCATTGCTGTGCACAACCAGGTGTGTGTGTGTATATGCCGCCTGGTAGCACGCCCTCTGGACTGCCTCGAGTATCTTGACATGCTCAGTTCGTGAAATGTGAAAAAGTTAACACCTCCCTTGACCAATGGGAGCCAAGGGATAATCCATGTATCAGACGGACATTTCTGACACATAGTCTACGTAGTTCCTTAGTGGATCTCCAGTGGGATTGGGCTCCATTGCCCAGAACAGTAACCAGCTCAATAATGGACCACTGCGTTGATTACACCTCCCTCTCTGTTTCACTCTTCGCGATACCCCCACTCGTTTCCCAGAATTCTTCCCCAAATAAACTATTTGCAAATAAGTCCTAGTCTCAGATTCTGATATTCTGGGTTAGACCAAGCTAGGACAACTACCTTGATCAAAAAAAAGAGGCAGGAGTTGTTGAATTAAATGCGGAGACCTTGCATGATTTTTCATTACCGCAGTTATGAACTTGGCTTCTTGACAAAGGATCCTTGCAACTGATCATCTCAAGTGGAATAAATGCCTGTTCATGAACTTCATGGCCTCTGAAGTCATGAGCTCTTATGATAACAAAATGGGGATTTTATCGTTGCGTCTTACCTTTTTTTTTTTTTTTTTATTCTTATGCAATATTGTAAGCTGGTGTGGATCTGTGTAACTGCTGCGTACAGAGAAATTCCCAAGTGAGGGGAGAAAGGGGACATAGAGGAGGGACCCGAAATGTCTTCTCAAACCGCGGAGCCTTGTTTTGATGTTTTAATAATCTAGTTAGCAAATGGGACCACTTCCCGTTTCTGTAAATAAAGTCTTATTAGAAGAACACAGCCATGCCTGTTTTCTGATATAGGGTCTGTAGCTACAAGAGTTGAGGACTTAAAACAGAGACCACATGGCCCACAAGCTTAAATTATTTAATCTGGTCCGCTAAGAAAAAGTTTGCTGACTCCTGAATTCTTCTCTAATATTTCATATCATTCTAAAAATAACTGGGAGGCAGGTATTATCATCCCACTTAGAGAGAAACTGAGGTTTGGAGAGTTTAAGTAACTCCTGAGTAAATGGCAGTCAGGGCTGGACCCCAAGTCCATGGATCATATTCAGCTATTTCCAGTTATCATGAAATGAGAGGCACTTCTCCTTCCTCCCTTCACCTCTCTCCTCCCTCCCCTCTCTCTTTCGCTCCCCTCCCTCATTGCTGGGTCTAGTAAATGCCTTTCCCTCAGCCTGGAACCATCCTCCTGTTCTGTCCCCTCCCTTCCTCGTTAATTTCTATTCACCCTTCAGTTCCTGAGTTTATACCTCATTTCTTCTTAAACCTCCTCTGGCTAGATTAGATTCCTCTTCTTAGATCTATTTTGGGGGTGGGAGGGGCTGAGAAAAGGCAGGGGTATAGAAATAAGAGAAGCCTCCCAAGTAGAGAGGCACCACACCCCTTCCCCCAATCCCCACACCCCGGCCCAAGGCCTTCTTCTTGAGGGCAGACCATTTCCATGCCTGGTTAATGTTGGGGTATAAGGTCCAGCTTTCTCCCTTCAGTATGGGATTCCCCTCAACCTCAGTGCTTCCTGAGGAGGTAGGCTGAAGCCTTTGTTGGGGCAGCATGGCTTCCTCTTCCCCTCCCCTCTCCAGGTGTTGATCCCAAAACCTTGCCCTCATAAATTTCCTACACTTTGCTCTCACTCTCAGAGTGGAGTCGGTTTCCCAGGGAACCTGCCACTCAATCCCACAGACCAGTGATAGGTCGAGGGGTTGCCCCAGGTCTCCTACCTGCTCCACTTCCCAAGGTTCTTCGCCGTGATTCATCATTCAGCAATATCAGAGCGAAGGGAGTTTCCGGCATTGCACCTGGAGAGCAGTAGGCAGTTAAGCCTACAGTTGCCCTGGGAACTCCCCACAGTTCCCTCACCCTGCACCATTCCTGTGGCGGCTGCCTCTATGTACACTGGGCTGCACTCTTCGTTTCATGTCTGGTGCCCACCTTGGGCTGCTTTACAGGACAGAAAACTTGCCTACCTTGCTCCTTCTGGTAAAACAAATATTTATGGAATGAATGAATGAAGTTCTGCAAGGCAGCTCATCGCACAGATGAAACTGACTCTCGGAGAAGTAACTGGCCCAAAGCAATTAGATATGAGTGGTGGAGTTGGCCCTTCTGCTCCGTTGTCACTGAGAAATGGA